GTTGGGACGCTTTTAGTCCTCGCCTCCTCCTGCAGCCCCCCTGGCCCACGGTGGAAGCGTTCGCTGGAATTCGAACGGCTTGGGAGAGATCTCCTGGTGCGGGACCGACGCGGATGGTCTCGGCTGTGCTTTTAGACAAGCCGACAGGAGGGGCGCGGCCCTTAGGGCCCATCCCCCTCTGGGCCCAGAGCATGGAGCCGCATGCGGCATGGCCCGCCCGCGGCATGGGAACGGGCGGTCGACGAACTGCTTTTGTTTTTTGTTTTCTGGGGGCTCGGCTCTAGCACGGCGCGCGACAAGAGCGCCCGGGTCCACGACGCCCTGAACGCCCACGCTAGGTCGGCCCCAGGGCTGGAAACGGCGACGCTCTTCGTAGACCTGTAGATCAGAGTTGCTGGCAGCGGCACGTGGCAGTTCTTTTCCGCTGGCTTTGCTGCGGGCTTACATTCGCCTGCATCGGGGGCCTCGGCGAGTGACCTGGCAAGGGGCCACCAGTCAAGAGGCCCAGCCGAATGGCACAGTCATTGCTGGCTGCTCTGGGGCCACCACCTTTGCACGCTTGCTTCTGCTCGGCGCCCCCCGCAGGGCAGCGGTTAGAAACCCCGCGGCGCGCATCAAGAATATCATTGATGACGCGTCGCTGCATGCAGTTGGAGGAGAGCAGGTTATCACTCAAGAGCTGGTCGCGTCTTTCAGTTCGCTGACCGCCGATCTGCAGCGAATGGGGCTTCCCACTGCCGAGAACAGGCTGGGCCCACCGGCATCCTCGACAGCCCTGGCGGGCGAAGTAGCCGGGCTGCGCAGCCTGCCGCCGTCGGCGAGAGCCCAGGCCCACAAGGATCTGGGAGGCGACGCCACGGACGGCACCAGACGGAGGGCCAGCATCCAGCACGAGCGTTTTTGCGAGGTCCAGCAAGAAGTTGCCAAGGCCCTCTCGCCGCGTAGTGCAGGGGGCCCGCGCGGGTCGATCTTTAGGGCTGGGGTTGCTTCGAAGGCCCTCTGGGGCGCCAACATTCAGGGGCCCCCAATGGCAAGCTGAAACGGCTTCGCCTGGCTGCGCTCAGGGCAGAAGGGGAGGCCCCCGAAAGGGTGCCCCCTAGAACTGGCATCCGCGCATGCTCGAGGAGGCTGGGTCAAAAATCCGTCGGTCACCATTACGGCTGACGCCCTCCGCGCGCACAGCCAGATTCTGAAGCATCAGCGCCTGGCGCCCGTGGTGCTGTTGTCGTTTTTCGACCGTGGCAAGGGGGTGCTCTTGCTGCCTCGGCCTCGGGCGCGCGCGAGACCCCATTGCAGCCCTCCTCATCGCTCGCGTGCGAAGAAGGCTCGTGTTTGACGACCCGTGGACATTACGTGGGGCCACGGGTGATGTCTGGGACCTTCGCCATGTGTCCCCAGCGACTCTGGCTAGGAGAGCGAAGCTCGCATCCAGGCGTCTCTCTGACCGTGAAGGCTTGACCAAGATTGACCAAGGCAAAGGATGGACTGGGGACATTTTTTGACGACCCCTCAATGAACTGTTACACCGCAGGTGGAAGGCCTCGCTAGAGGAGGAAGCCGGGGTGTCGGACGAGCGGCGGGGGATTCGAGAGCAGAGAGCCCTCCGTGGCCTAGCCATTGGCTCGCATTGGTGCCAAGCGAGACCGAACAAGCATGACACTCAGTTGCAAGCGCAGCGAATCATTCGCGGGGATGCTAGAGGCAGCCTGTTCCATCGCCATTTCGAGCGCCCAGCCCGCCAAGCATGGAGGAGGGACTTCCTCTCGCAGGACGTTGCAGCCTCTGTTAGACGTTTGCAAGCTGGGCCCGAGCATTTGCAAGAGCGTTTTTTCTAGAGGGATCGTGCCCGACCCGTGCCAAGCCTTCCCCCGCCCAAGGTGGAACCCAGAGCGGGAACCTAAAATTGAATGGATTGCTCCGCCCCTGGCTTTGGACGGGGTCATGTTTTTTGTTGCAATGGCTCAGGTATCGGCGGGCTGTTTCCGTCATTTCGGGTTGCTGGCTGGGGAGTGGCAGTCTATAATCATGGGCGCCGACCCTTAGCGGGGTGGTATGGAGCGGCCCCTCCGCATTTGGGCCCCGACCAAGGACTATGCTGTGCTCACGGCCCTGAAGCATTCAGTCGGCAGGTATACGATATAGTCCGATTACAAAGGGACGGCTCCGTGCTGTTGGGCTGCGCAATATGCGCAGCGGCCTGGCAACACCAGAGCCCACCTGTGGAAGGAGGCGCTTCGAGAAGGAAGGCCTGAGCTGGTGGATTTCTGTAGGGTGGCGGCCCATACCTCCATGGCCGACGTTGGAGATGGACGGATCATCCTGTTTGAGAAATAGAGCAACGACTAAGCCGAGAGGATCGCGAAGGCGGGAGCTGAGCTGTGCAGATGCCCGTACACTGTGGCCATGATGGCCAAAGGTACGCTCCATGTTTCGCGTCTGCTACTCCAAATCATGAGCAGGGCAGAGACCCAACACTCCGACGAGGGCCAGTGGGACAATGTAGGGGCCCGGGGACTCACAATGATCTCCATGGAAGGGGGTCGGAGATGGAGGAGGCGCTTGCTCAGGCTAGGAGGAAGTATGATGAGGAGGGGGGGTCGTGCTGCCATTGCTCCTGCCTGCCCTCCCCAGGACACCTTTTCGCCCTCGCGCCATCCCCGAGAGCCAAAGGCGCCAGAGTTAGTGGCCCAAGCGTTCGATGCCCAGCAGTCTCCAGCCTTCATAGGAGGGCATGCCCTGCCGGAGTTCTCGATCGCGACTGAAGGGCAGGCACCGATCCTTGTTTGCTCGACCTGTGGGGCATACGCCACGTCGTGGGATCTCGGGGCCTCAGAAGGGAATGCGAAGGTTCCCAGCATGCCCTGGTAGACCCTGGCAGGAAGAACTCGAACGCGGTCTTCAGAGGGAAGCACCCAACAGGCCTCTCAAGCTGGGCCCTTGGAGAACTCCTGGGGCCTGGGCGCGGGAGCTGGCTGGGGGAAAGGAGAAGCCCAAGCAGGCCCAGCAGAGAGGAAGTAGTGTTTTAAGGCCCGAAGCAGGCCAAGATGCATTGATGTGCCTGGATGATGTCCTTCAGGCCTTTGGGCTGAATGAGTCCGAAGCGGCCGAGTTGGGACCAAAACTGCAAGAGCGCACCCCAGACCACGGTATGGCGGACGCGAAGGTCTGTTGATACCTAGGGGGGGGCCTGTCGTTGGCCCCTGGCAGGTCGTTGGCATTCCTGCCCGGGTGGCAAAAGGTCCACTCCGATGCCCGCCCGTGGGTTTGTTGGACCGTCGAACCGTTTCCCCCTTTCCCCCCAGTGGCATGCAATCCAACTCCTCCTCCTCCTCCTCCTCCTCCTCCTCCTCCTCCTCATCCTCGTCCTCCTCCTCCTCCCTCCTCCTCCTCCTTCCTCCTCCTCCTCCTCCTCCTCCTCCTCCTCTCCTCCTCCTCCTCCTCCTCCTCTCCTCCTCCTCCTCCTCCCTCCTCCTCCTCCTCCTCCTCCTCCCCCCAAAAGTCCTCCTCCTCCTCCTCCTCTCCTCCTCCTCCTCTCCTCTCCTCCTCTCCTCCTCCTCCTCTGCTGCTGCTGCTGCTGCTGCTGCTGCTGCCCTCTCCTCCTCTCTCCCCTCCTCCTCCTCCTCCTCCTCCTCCTCCTCCTCCTCCTCCTCGCTGCTCCCTCCTCCTACTCCTGTCCCTTGCTCCTCGTTCCTCATTCTCGTCCTACTCCTGCTCCTTGCTCGTCCTGCTCTCTGTGCTCCCTTATCCCTTTTCTTATCCAGGAAACCCATGAGGTTATCGCCACGCACAGTCGCACTAGAATGTTTGAGAAGACACCAGGATGAAAGGCAATTGGTGTTCAACCTGTGGCTCCCCACTGAAACACCTCCATGCAGTCTGGAGGGCTGTTCCCCTTCAAGATGAAGTTCCAGCACGACCCTCTGACGTCATTACCAGAAACGCTACCTTGCGCAACATTTGCGCGCATGGGGGCATCTCCTTTTCAAAGCAGCGCTCTCGCCGTAAACTTCGCCGCGCTCTGTGATCCTGCCGGTGTCGCATTCCTCGAGTGTCGCTGAAAGAAGCAACGCAACTCCATTCCAAAATTGGGTTCTCGCTTAAATGGCGCTGATGGGGCACTCGTCGTTCAGAGGGGCGCTTCCAGTAGTGACAAGGGAGACGTGTGGGGACTGTCGAGCGGGGAGCTTGGGACAGGAGGCTAGGCTATGTATTGCAGCATCATGGAAGCATCCTGGCTGTACCCTAGTCTTCACTCCTCCCCCTCATCATCATCATCATCATCATCATCATCATCATCATCATCATCATCATCATCATCATCATCATCATCATCATCATCATCATCATCATCATCATCATCATCATCATCATCATCATCATCATCATCATCATCATCATCATCATCATCATCATCATCATCATCATCATCATCATCATCATCATCATCATCATCATCATCATCATCATCATCATCATCATCATCATCATCATCATCATCATCATCATCATCATCATCATCATCATCATCATCATCATCATCATCATCATCATGGGCATCAGCATCAGCATCATCATCATCAGCAGCATCGTCATCATCATAATCATCATCATCACCACCACCACCATCATCATCAACAAAATCATCATCATCATCATCATCACCACCACCATCATCATCATCATCATCAGCAGCATCATCATCATCATCATCATCACCTACATCATCATCATCATCATCATCATCATCACCATCATCATCATCAGCATCATCACCATCATCACCATCATCATCACCACCATCATCATCATCACCATCATTATCATCATCATCATCATCGTCATCATCATCATCGTCATCGTCATCGTCATCGTCATCGTCGTCGTCATCATCATCGTCATCATCATCATCATCATCATCATCATCATCATCATCATCATCATCATCATCATCATCCTCAATCCCCCTCCGCAACCTCCTCGGTTTGGTGCCCGGGAGGTGCCGCTTTCCCTCCGGTCCCGGACGGCGAGAAACGTGACGTAGCAGAGCACGTTGTCCGCGAGCTTGGCGCGGGGAATCATCTTTTACACCTCTATATATGTATATGTACATGTATATACGTAAGTCCCGTTACCTCTACATGTGCTGTGTATAAACAAAGATTCGGTGTGTGTATGTATATGTATATGTGTCCCTGTCTCTCTCTCTCTCTCTCTCTATCTCCCTCTCTTTCCCTCTCCCGTTCCCTCCCTGCCTGCCCCCCTCTGTTCCCACTGCCTCTTCATCTCTCTCTCTCTCTCTCTTTCTCTCTCTCTCTCTCTCTCTCTCTCTCTCTCTCTCCCTGTCTATCTCTCTCTCTCTCTCTCTCGCACTCGCTTCCAATATGGAAACATCTCTTTCTCCCCCTACCTGCATATATGCCCGCACCGTGCCGCGCGGGGCGAGGTGGAGTTTTCTAGAGGCTCTCATGCGTTCTCTGATCTTTTCTACTCGGGGCTCTGGGACTAGAGTTTAGGGTTTAGGACAAGGTTTAAGGATTAGGGTATCGGATTTCGGGTTTAGGGTTAGGGTTAAGGTTTAGGGTTTAGGGTATGATCAGAGCTGGGGCCCAAAATTCTCAAATTTCCTGGGGCGTTCCCGCGCGTTCCTGGGCTGCCCCGCGCGACTTCTCCAGGGGCCAGAGGGCCCCACGACAGGCCAGGAGGGCCCCAGAAAGCGTCCAAGAGGGTCCAAGAGGCCTCCAAGACAGCCCAAGAGCGCTCCAAGACGCCCAAGATGGCCCCAAGATGGTCCAAGAGGCCCCAAAGAAGCCCCAAGAGCGTTCCAAGAGGGCCCCCAAGAGGACCCCCAAGAGGGCCCAAAAGAGGCAAAAGTCAGTGATGTTCTTTATGCGATTCTATGTTTTTAGCATTCTCGCGTTTTCCGGCTTCCGACGCTCCAAGATGGCCCTGGAGGCCCGCAAGACCGCAAGAGGGCCCCCAGACGGCCCCAACAGGGGCCCGATTGCGGAAACACGAACCGTCAATTCGAACCTACCTTCCGCCCCAAGAAGCCCCCAATGAGGCCCCAAGAGGCACCCAAGAGGCCCCCTAGAGGCCCCGTAGAGGCCCCACCCCGAGAGGCCCAAAAAGAGGCCCCAGGAGGCCCCCAAACGGCCCCCAAGAGGCCTCAAAACTGTCTCCAAGAGGCGTCCAAGAGGCCTCCCACAATATCCAAACGAACATCCAAGAGGCCTCTGACCCACAACCCAGGCACGGTGGCGGGATGGGCCGAAAGCCACTGTATCCGCCGCCCCCTTGTGATTTATCACAGGGGTGCCTGGCGTGCTGGATCCTATCGGTTTTGGTTTCGGTTTTTTCCGAAAGAACTCCCACTGGGGCTCCGGCGCGTCCCGCCGGCCACCCGGAAAGGCTCTCAAGGAGCTCAATTCCCCAATGTTTTGCTCAAGATGGCCCGAGATGGCCTCCAAGATGGCCACGCTGGCCCAAGATAGCCTCCAAGATGGTCCAAGAGGGCCTCCAAGTCCGCCCAAGATGGTCCAAGACGGCCTCCAAGACGGCCCAAGAGAGTCCAAGATACCTCCAAGTTCGCCCAAGAAGCCTCCAAGACGGCCCAAGACGACCAAGACTCAAGGAGGGCCCGAAGAGGCCAAGATCATTGATTTTCGTTATGGTTTTGACAGATTTTAGCATTTGCTTCTTTTCGGCCTTCCGACGGTTCAAGACGGCCCAAGAGGCCCCCAGGATCGCCCCAAGATCGCCCACGAGGCCTCCAAGATGGCCCCATGACGGCCCAAGAGGCCCCCAAGACGGCCCCAAGAGGGCCCCAAGACTGGCCAAGGCCTCCAAGACGCCCAAGATGGCTTCCAAGACGGCCCCGAAGCTCCCCAAGCGGGCCCCAAGCCGTATCAGAGAGGCCCCCAAGACGGCTCCCGACGGCGTCAGACGTGCCAGGAACCCACCAAGATGGCCGAAGTTGGCTCGAGGCTGGCCCAAGACGGCCCAAGAGGCCTCCAAGAGGGCCTCCAGGAAGGCCAGAAAAAGCCAAAAACACAAATTGTCCTTAGGTGTTGGAAGCATTTTGACATTTGCTTTTTTTCAGCCTTCCGAAGGCCCGAGACGGCCCAAGAGCCCCTGAAGATCGCCCAAAGATCGCCCAAGAGACCTCCAAGATGGCCCCAGAACGGCCCAAGAGGCCCTCAAGACGGCCCCAAGAGGTCCCAAGACGGCCCGCTGAACTCGACCAAGGGCAATAGGACTACTCAAGGGGCCAGCATTGCGGCGCACTATCACACATACACACACACACACACACACGCACGCACGTTTCAATCGCACGCAGGCGGGGCGAATAGCCGCACGGCCATTTCAGTGGGCGCGCACCGGACAGAAAGGAGGGGTGAAGGGGGAACGGAAACCCCCACATGGACAGCCGCAGAGGCGGCGGAACCCGGAGAGACGGCCAGAATATATGCACATGCACCTTTACATGCGCATGTAATGCAACATGCACCTTTACATGCACTTTTACATGTGCATATGTACACCTTCAAAAACGTATACGTATAAGTCGTCGCATTGATGCCCATAAAATGTATGCACTACATTTACATAACCAAAAAGTCGCATACACGTGCACACACACACACACACACACACACACATGCGCACATGATGTTTCGTGTACATGTATACGTCTGCATGTACATACACACCCATGCAGATGCATAAACATAAACATACGCATAAGCGTGCATGTGTGAAATACACACACATATATATATATATATATATATATATATACATGCATGCATACATACATACACAGTCATACACATGTGCGTACGCAAGTACATGCACATGCACATTTACATGTACGTGAAGATAAACGTAGACGTAGACGTATACGTATAGTATACATATACAGATACATATGCATGTACATCCGCCACCGTGCCGCTGTGCACGGAGTGGGCGCATCCTCAGGTCCTGGGCCCAATCCTCTAGGCATCAACCCTCACTCCTGAGGAGTCTGAAGGGGCCCGGACCCCAAATCGCCAAATCTACCTGGGTTTGGCGCGTCTCGTCGGGGGGGTGTCGAGGTTTCTCGCGTGATTTTTCGGGCCCAAGAGGGCCCAAGAGGGCCCGGAGTCGCCGAACGATCAATCCAAGACGCCTCCAAGATGGCCCTCAGACGGCTCACGAGGCCACCAAGACGCCAAAAGCGGCCTCCAAGAGGCCTCCCGAGAGGGACCCAAGAGGCAAAAATGATTGACTTTCATGCGGGGTTTGAAGGAGTTGGGCGTTCTCGCCTGTGCGGCTTCCTGACGCTCCACGACGACCCACGAGGCCCCCAAGAATGCCCCAAGACGGCCCCGGAGGCCCCCAACAGAGCCACAAGACGCCCCAAAAGTGCCCCAAGACGGCCCAAGAGGCGCCCAAGAGCCCCATGACGGGCCGAAGAGGGGCCCAGATGGGGAACCCGAACTAACATTTCGAGCCCTAGGCCCCGAAGGGCCCCCAGGAGGCCCCAAGAGGTCCTCAAGAGGCCCCAAAGAAGCCCCAAGAGGACCCTAAGAGGCTCCAAGAGGCCCCCAAGAGGCTCCCAAGAGGCCCCCAAACTGCTCCCAAGAGGCCCCCAAACTGCTCCCAAGAGGGCCCCCGAGAGCGCTCGCTCCGAAGGGACCCCAAGAAGCAGCCCTGAGAACTCTGACCAACAAGCCGGGCACGGTGGCGGGATGGGCTGAAGACCATTAGATACATACGAACAACATGTGCATGCATAGATATGTGTTGACCCTCACATATACATAGATATATGCATCGCGAAGTGGGAAAAGACAAAAAGAAGGGGGGGAGGGCGGCGATGCAGGGAGGTACCCAGGGGGGGAGGGGAATGAAGGGAGAGGGGAGGGGAAGAAGACGTCGAGGAGAAGAGAAGGGAAAGGGAGAGGAGCAGAGGGAGGAAGGGGAAGGATGAGGGAGCGAGGGAACGAGATGGAAGAAGGGGATGGAGGAAGAGACGGAGCGGCACAAAGGGAAGGGAGGGAGGGAACGAACGAACGAAACACCAAACGCAAAACGCGCGTGGGCAAGACGATTGGCGAGCGTGCGAGCAACGCCAACGCGTCAGCTGGCGGACAGGAGGCGCCAAACGCGCGACAAGACAGCGACGACGCGCCAAATGCGCGCCGGGAGGACGAGGTGAGGACAAGGGAGGGAGAGAAGCAGGAAGGCATAGTGGCAGATGAAGTCGTGGCAGAAAGGATTCGCTGAACGCAACTTGCTTTGCGAAACCGCGAAACGGCAGATACCGCACAGCGGAGAGAAACGCGGACGAGGGAAGGGGAAGGCAGGAAGGCAGGAGAGAATGAGAGGGAAGGAGGATCCGAGGTGGAGTGGGGGGAGGAGACGGATAAAAGGAGAGGGAAAGAGACGAGGCGAGGAAAGAGGGAGGAGCGAGGGGACGGGGTGGCGGGAAAAGAGGGAGGACGAGGCAGGGAGCAGGGAGGGAGAGGGAGGAGTAGGAGAATGAGTAGGAACCCGTGGCGCTACCAGTACCAATCAAGAGGGAAAGAACCTTCGTCCAAACGATTGCCCCCGAGGGACCCACAAGACTCCCCCAAGAGGCCCAAGAGGACCCCAAAACGCCTCCGAGAGATCCCCGACAGGCCTCCCGAGGGAGCCCCAGACACCTCCCAAAGAGTTATGTTGTCCATGACCATGTCACAGTCGCTGGCTTGGCCGAAAGCCACTACTCAAAAAAAGTCCTCAGGCAACCCTCAACAAGGACAACTGGCACACTCGTGATTTGCTCACGACGTGGACCCCTGGAGGTCTTGACCCCTCCTGCGGGACCAGCTGTTCACCTTGAGTCTCTGACGGCGCCTGGAGGCCGAAGATTGCCAAAAACCTCGCGTCTTGATGTTTCACGACGCGAGGGGGCCTCCAGGAGTCTCGGGATCAGGAACTCCACTCCGGGACCTCTCCTGGGATGCGATCCGGCCAGGGTCTCGAAGCGGACTGGCCCGTGGCGACGGGGAGCCTCCGAGGAAGGACGCGGGC